TCTCCATTGTCTTAACCAGTTATTGAACCCACACCCTTTATTTCAAGAACACATGGCACAGTGGATAAAGACGTTACTTAGATTCAGTGACAAGACACAAAGCTATTTTCTGCGATAATGCATTTCTTCATCTGGAGACGAAGAATGTAATTTCAATATAGCAAATTTATTGGTACCACTCTTATCCACAGTTCTCCATATACCACCAGCAGGAGTTATTAAGACAGATTACAGATTAGACTACGTGGAATATGCAATCGATGAAGCAATTACCCTGACTACCGTCAATGAAAACGTAACATTATGTACAGAAGCATTTTGTCCCAACCTCGACACAACAACATCTCCAAATGAAAAGCAATATGTGAACTCGTTAATTTCTAATTCTTCGTCTGTGATTATATTGTCTGTTCGTTTTTCTCTTTGTTTGTAAACTAATACTCTATCTTTTCGTACTGATAATTTAATTTGCAGTCTAACTTCTTTTGACTTGAAAATAAGCCTTTTTAATTGGAAGCTGGGCTTTTCTAATCTAAAGTTTAACATATTTTAATTTTATGCTGAGTTTTTCTATTTGGATGTTGAGTTTGAAGTTAAAGCTATTTTTAAAAGCCGAGCCGTTTCTCCTTTTTGCAGCTGAGGCTTTTTAATTGGAAATTGAGCCTTTTTAATTTGTAATTCAACATTTCTGTTTTAAGCTGACGTCTTTTAATTGGAAGTTGGGCCTTTTTAAATTTTAAATTAAGTCTTTTTAATCTAATTTTTTTTTCTTTGTAGTCCAACTTTTTAATCTGAAGCTGAGCCTTTTTAATTGGAAGTTGGGCTTTTTTAATTTGAAGGTCATTTTCTAAGCTGACATGTTTTAATTGGAAGTTGTGCTTTTTTGTAATTTGAAGCTGAGCCTTTTTAATTGGAAATTCAACTATTTATTTGATGCTGAGATTTTTTTTATTGGAAGCAGAGCTTTTTTAATTTGACGTTCAACATTTTTTAATTTGCAGCTAAGATATTTTAATTGGAAGTGGCGATTTTTTTCTATTTAAAGCTGAACTTTTTAATTGGAAATCGAGCTTCTTTAATTGGAAGTTCATTTTTTTAAATTCGAAGCTGTAGCTTTTTAATTGGAAGTTGAACATTTTAATTTGAAGTCTAACTTTTTAGATTAAACCTGAGCCTTTTAATTGGAATTTGAACTTCTTTAGGTGCCTCCACGAAATCGCTAAAAAATTAATGATTAAAACATTCTCCAAACGTAATAAAAACATAATTTTACTGTCAATATCCTTATGTTATTATTAAGACGAAGGATCAAAGTATTCTTTGAATATTTTTTGCTGCTTTTTAGGACATTATGAATTTTGATTAAAGAACTTGTTTCTCTTGCGTCAGCGGTTGTACTAACTTTCAGCCTAGACAATTTTAACCTCTATTTTTTGGTGACAGTCACATTAATTTAGAAATGCTGGCAAAAATCAAATAACTGTCGGATTTTAGGGAAATTTTCAGGACTTATTCACAAATGAATAAAATTATTTTTGATTTTTTTTTAATTAAAAAAATCTTGGTAAACATATTTATTTTACATGTGTTTCACCTCCTTACTTAATTTTATGAAAACATGAAAAACTCAACGTGATAATATTTAGAGACTAAAAGCAGAATTGTTTGAAGAATTTAAATCACCAAACATTCTTCGGAAAATCAAACCCCGTCTTACCGAAAATCTAAAAGCTAAGACATTATTTTATTAGAGAAGCTTTTAATTGCTTTTATGAACAATATATGTTAAAGAAAATATTGTCAGAAAAAAAAAAGATTTTTGATTAAAAATGAATTTATGTAAGATATGTTTTAGGTTTTTTGCAATTTTAAATTGAATAATTTATAAAGTTTTAAATCATTTAAAATTCAGTTTCAATGTGATAACTCTTAGGAAATACGGTTATTAAGTAAAACTATATTTACTAATCAAATATTGTAAAGCTTATTACAATTTGGTAAGTCTGAATATTTTTAAAAGAATTTCGATTTGTTTTGCTTTTATATGTGTATATACGTGCATAATTTCTAAATATGAATGATAAAACCTATAAAATTATCATTAAAATGTCACATGTTTGAAGGGTTACCTCCCACAGACACACAGAGGGAAAAACCCTCATATAAATTTTAACGTTTTCTCCACCATACTTAACTATGAACACGTTCGACGGTAATTCGATTAACACGTCAGAAAAACAAGACCCCGTGGTTAAAAAATGCTTGTATACAAGATTTTATGCTATAGGTATTTAATATTTGTTTCAAATCAGAATAATTTAACATTAAATTTGCTAATTTTTCTCAAATAAACTTTCAGAATCATATATTTTATTTTTGCAAGATTTTTAAATCCGAGAATTAACTTTTGTTTAAAATGTGTGAAAATGACCGTTTTATCGATTTTTCGGGAAAAATTCATTCAGAACAATATAATGTTTTATTTGAAATACACCGCAGAGTATTTTGCTTACTGGAAATAGTAAATTTGAAATCCTTAAAGCTAAAATGAAAGCTTCAAGAAAGCTTTTGCATTTTTAAAATTCATTTTAAACCTTATATATACCAAATTAGTGGCGGTACCTAAGCTTTTGTAGCTGTGTAGTAAGATGAAAGAATTCAGACTTTTTTGTCATATCAATCGACTTACGTAAAAGTAGAGGTGAGGCAGGAAAAATTTCGGATAAATTTAGCTGTGGACGGTTTAATACGTCTTATTAACTTATTCACTGGTTTGAACCGCGTTATGACCTTCTGCCTATACCTGGTATATTTGCAGCTAATTGGCACTTTTAAGTATGTTTTCATCAATATATTTCGTTCTCCATTCAAATTTAATCTACTTTTCCTTCAGTTTTTTTTCTGGCTTCCCATCCTGAAATAGGATCTTTCATGACACTTCACCTATTATTTGACTTAAGCCTTTATTTGACTCATCAGATTGATGGTACACTCATCTTCTTATATTAGCATATAAAGAATATTTATCACTTGTATCATTATAGATTGACTAGCAGCATGGCCCAGCGTTGCCCGTGCTTGATTCAAAAATCGTACGACTCATACAGCAATCGCTATCACTTGAGTATTTTTGCCCTTCCTTGCCTTTAAAGGAGTGTCCTTTGCCGTGCTGATATTGCTACATGCCTTACTTCTTGCCTGCGAATTTTTTCTAAGCTCTATACTAAACATTAAATCTGTTACAAAAAAGAACGAAACAAAATGAGCACAAAACGATCAGCTATAAAAAAGGACACGTAACTGGAAAAACCAAATGAAAAAAGAATGTTAACAACAAATACTTTTTCAAATCTAACCCAGTTCTGCGGAATCAGAATCAACGTTGAGTTTAAGCAAGCGAATGAGCCAATTGGAGTAAAGTGCCATGCAAATTTAAATTTTTCCCACTTGTGACGAATGCAGCTATCGATTTTTTTGCATGCTAGTTAGCATTCGTGTCAGTCAGCTGTTGGCTCTCACTCAGGCCAGTAGTAAATGGCCGCAAACTACATGAAAATTGCTGTGAAATTGCGCATGAAAAAATCGATTATTTCCACTATCGATGGGAGTTGGGAAATACAATGTCAGTCTTGGCCTTTCTACTAACTTTGAGCATGTGCATGTAAATTTTGGTGCAAATCCGTCGAAAATTGTGGCCGTGCATTCGTTACATACACACACACACATCCTGCCTTTTATAGATAGAGATTCATCTGAACTAGTTTCCTTGTTTTGTTGCTGTTGTGAGTTAGGTCCCGGAATAAGCCAGCGGAAATAGGCAACGGAAAGGTAGATTGGCATCATCAGGAATAAAAAAAAAAACGGCTTCTCATGAAAATACACCGAATATGAGAGATGATGCAAACAGCATAGCCCCATGGATCGAACAAAGGGCCCTGCTTTAAAAAAATGAATTTATGTAAGATATGTTTTAGGTTTTTTGCAATTTTAAATTGAATAATTTATAAAGTTTTAAATCTTTTAAAATTTAGTTTCAATGTGATAACTCTTAGGAAATACTGTTATTAAGTAAAACTATATTTACTAATCAAATATTGTAAAGCTTATTACAATCTGACAAGTCTGAATATTTTTAAAAGAATTTCGATTTGTTTCGATCTGCTTTACAATGCGCGAAAGTTACGGAATTTTATAATAAGTACTTATGTGTGAATATTTGAAAGGAGTATGACGTCATTGGTGATGAAATGCACGAGAACAACTGGAACGGATTTTAAGGAAATTTTCAGGACTTATTCACAAATGAATAAAATTATTTTTGAATGTTTTCATTAAAAATATCGGTAAAAATATTTATTTTACATGTGTTTCACCTCCTTTACTTAAAGAAAGCTTTTTCATTTTTTTAAAATTCATTTTAAACCTTATATATACCAAATTAGCGGCGGATGTGTAGTAAGATGAAAGAATTTAGATATTTTCGTCATATGAATCGACTTACGTAAAAGTTAATAAGTACTTATTCGCCTCATCTCACAATGACCTTATGTAAGAGTTTTTTTTTACATGTATCCACACAATATGCTACAAGACACAATGCTGAATTTTATAAATCATCATGCAGAAATTGCTACAAATATATTATCCTTCTGTTAGTTCAATGATCAGACGCTGTGTCGAGGAGGGAGATTACTACCTGTTAAATACCGTGTGATGCTGCGAAAATGTGATGAATTCAACAAATATGAAAAAGCAAGAGCTAACGAAATAGTACATGATTATCACTTTATAATAGTAAGACGTTTCTCTCAGAAATTGAAAATAAAAACGCATAAAGGAACGATGAGTTAAACTTATTACGTATAACGTCCCATAGCTGACAGCAGACTAAGTTTGGGCGATAGAAATATCGAACGTCGAAGTGTGAATAGCATGTCTGTCTTGACAATATCAGCAATGATATTGCACAGAACAAAGAGGTTACGTCAGCTCACAGCAAAATGAGGTCAGGGGTCAAAAGGATAGAGAGATGTCGGCGGAGGAGACGAAACTGTAATAGAAAGAAAACAAATGAACTGAAATGTTTCTCCTTTTCAAGAAACAATTTGGAAAATCTGAATAACTGCTTTCGGCTATAAGATTTCCTTTCTTCACACCTTTTTCAGGTTTTGTTTCTTTAAATCTTCCTTCGCCTTTTTATTCAATGGCACCCCTTCCCGTTTACCCCATCGTTTCTCCCTAAGTTTTTTCTTCCTTTCTTTCTTTCTTTCTTTCTTTCTTTCTTTCTTTTTTCATCGCTTTCCTTCTCTCTCTTTGTATTTCTTCCTATTTCTTCTACTTCTTCACTTTCCTCTCTCCTCCTGTCCTTTTTCTTTAGTTATTTTTCTCTTTTTCTTTCTTTTTTGTCATCTGTTTCAGTTGTTCTCGTGCATTTCATCACCAATGACGTCATATTCTTTTCAAATATTCACACATTTCTCGTACACTTTAAAGACTTCGAAGCATGCAAATATTTGTTGTGACATTTTCTTCGACGCGTACATCAGTGCACACTCAAAGGAATCCTCCCCAAACCCCACAAATATACCCATCTTGAACTTTGAACTTTCCCTGCCTCCTCTTCGCGTCCTTTATTTTATTTTATTTTTTGTTAAAAAAAGACTTTAACAAAAACTCAGAATGCCGATTTTCAAATACTTCCCTATTGCTGAACACGAAGAATCCCAGACAAAAGGTAAAACATCTTTGAGTTGACAAAGTGAGTTACTTTGTATATTCCATCTCCGATGTTCCAAACGGGTTGCATTACACTAGAATATAGGAAGAACCTTTGAAATTACTGCATGGTATCTAAAAAATTATAACTATGATGGCTGGCGATGGGACAGAACAGTCAAAGAAAATGTATTAATTTATTTTGCAAGGGGTTTAGCTCGATATTTGATTGGGATTGGAACTTTGTTTGCCTAATCCGTTTTGTTGCTTGATAGACATTGCTTGTGAGATACATTTTGCATTGCGAGATTGATTAATCTAAAAATCATTACTATCTGCATTTGCAGACATGTCTTATAAGTACTTATTCGCCTCATCTCACAATGACCGTTTATAAGGTTTTTTTTTTTTTTTTTACGTGTGGGTGATTGAATATCCACAAAATACGCTACAAGACACAATGCTGAATTTTATAAATCATCATGCAGAAATTGCTACAGATATCACGATATTATCCTTCTGTTACCTTTAGTTCAATGATTAGACGCTGTTTCGAGGAGGGAATTTCAATTAATGGTTTCCTGTCAAGAATAACCGAAATTGGTTATGGGCGTTTTTAAGATTACTACTGGTTCTAATCTCTTAACTGCACAGATCTAAATTTCGATAACCGACTTTGCATCTATAATATCAAAGAATATTTGGTAAAACCTTAAATGCAGCAATTCGTATCCATTCGGCGAATTTCTATCAAAATATGTTATTACTCATATGCTCAGTGATTTATTTTCTCTGATGCATAATCAGCTGGTTTCTAAGACATTCACGCAACTTGTATATCTAAACGAATGTATCGCATCAAATATTGAATAGTTTACCATTTTCATGTTTCACTGAAAACCCGTTCACAACGTGAGCTTATTTTAAGATCCCGCTTTGTTGCTGATCAAATGTTTTCATTTAGTTGAAACTAAATTTATTCATCTTTTTATCTTTTATAACTGAGAGCAGAATTAGCAAACCTTGTCTTATATTATGTTAACTGTGTACTAATTCTCTAGGAAAAGTCATGAACTCACATCCCTGTGCTCGGCTGTAGAGTCAAATATCTTAACAAAAATATCTCATCACGAGCATATCACGGCGGATGATTGAGAAAAAAGCAAATGAATATTTGGCCAAACCTTCCTCCCAAGACTAACTTACCCTAGTTTTTCTTTTACGTGCTGTATCTCTTCAGTGCATAAGGGATCATGACCCTCCACATTTTCCTGTCCCTTGTAGCTCTTCATAAGTTGTCTTTTTGTTATTCCTCCCAGACCCTATTCTGCTTTCCATTTGCTCAAGTCCATCAAGTATGTTAGCACTGCTTTCCTCTCTCCCGCTTACCCTCTATCTGTCCTGTGAGTATCAGATTTTCCAAACCCTCCTTCCTCATTACGTGCCCCAGAAATTTCAACTGTGTCTTTCTGATGTTAAGTATAATTTCCATTTTTGTTTCAATTCTCTCAAAAACCTCGTCGTTGCTCATATGTTCGGCACATTGTATTCTCAGCATCTTTCTGTAGAACCGCATTTCTGTTGCTTAAAGTCTCGTCTTCATCTTTGAGGCGATTGTCCAGCATTCACCGCCATATATGAGGACAGGTATCACGTAATAGTTCAGTACTGTTTTCTTTTTTTTCCAACGAAATTTTCTGTCTTTTAATACTCTGTTGAATTTTTGTAATGCCGTTTTGGCCATTCCAATACGTCTTCGGATCTCAGTGTCACACTTTCCGTCCTCTGTTAGAAAAAAAATATTTAAATTTCTCTACTTGAATGCATTTAGTATCCCCGATCTTAGCACAGTATAATGCCATTATCAAACTTGAATGGAACCAGCTAACTGAACAAGTCTTGCTGACTTCGAACACTGAAAAAAAAAAGAACAGGTCATAATTCCTTTCTTGTAGGGTGATTATATATTTTTTTATTTTCTATATCTTTTTTTTTATTATTTGTTCATTCGCTTGATTGATGTGAATTTACTCTGTCGGTAGATGAAACATTTTTCAGCAGAGTCTTACGCCATTGATTTCTGTCCACAGATAAATGAAACTGCTGCATTTATCTCCGTCGATTCGCTCTTCAAACTTCAAAATCACACGCCTTTCCGCCATTTTAATTCTCTACATTAACCATATTACCGCCCTCTTTGTTCAAATCTCTTCTACAATTTCTTTGTTAATAAAAACAGAAATTAGTCCTATAGCGATTAAACGCTTCAAAACGTTCCGTTCTTAAATCATTGTTTTCTTCTTTTTTTAATTTATGTCTTCATATCTCATCATCTTTTTCAACTTCCGTCGCATTTTACTGGATTTTACTTGTCTTCTTCTACTTCAATTTTATTTTTATTTTTGAAATTATTTTTTAATTCTTTTCTATGCATCTTTTTCACGGATGTCATAATTACATTATTGTTAAGGCCAATTTTTCTAAGTTTTTTCTGTATGAATTTTATTGTATTTTTCGGGTTTAAATCTTTTTTTTACATCTCATAATTATTTTGATTTTTATTTAAATCCTTCTTTATAGCTTTTCTTTCCTTGCCAATTTGGTTTTATTTTTTTCATATTTCCTTTTCCTTCTGTTAATTCTGTAAGATTTTATAAATGTTCTTATCAGTTACACAAAATCATCAAGATATTCGTTTTTCCCTCACAAATCACTTTTCACTTAATTTGATTAAACATTTAAAAACGGATTTAGTCGCCGACCAACGAGAAACATTCCTACACATTTGTTTTATTCAACTATTTATCCCTTTTTCTTTCTACCTTAACATGCTTTTATCTATCTATCTATCTCTATCTATCTATCTATCTATCTATCTATCTATCTATCTATCTATCACAGTCTGTTCATGTCTATCAATCTGTAGGCGTATGAGTGTGTATGTGCGTTTATACATGTTTTCTTGTTTGTAATTCAACTATTTTCATCGTTTCAGTCAACAACGATTTCTCTTACTCTGCCTATTTAACCGATTTCTGTATGTACATCAAAATGTGTGTTTTGTTCTATTTTTAATTGTATCTTTTAATTCCACAGTTCTATTCTTTTACATCCATTATTATCTCGTGTGATGTATTCTTCGATCTAGGTACGTTCGCTGCCTAATGAAGAAAAAAGCCTTTATTTTGCACAATGGATACTTATTTTTCAGTACAATTTCTTCCCTTGTCTATGCACAATTTTAAGATCAATATTAACCACACACGGAGATAAATCACCATATCTGCAACTTAATGACAAAAAAGAGGCATTTATTTTACAAAATGCATATTTCTTTTTCCACATAATCTCCTCCCCACTCAATGCACTTAAATTTAGTGAAGAATATTAATCACATACATGGATCCACCCTAGTAACTCTCTCTCTCTCTCTCTCTCTCTCTCTCTCTCTCTATATATATATATATATATATATATATATATATATAGCCGAATGGATATGAGATTGTGACCCTGGGTTTCATCTGAGGATAGCATAAGCGTGAAACCCCGGGTTACAATCTTATATCATTTTTCAACTAAATATGTTAGCTCTACCACTGATACTGAGCGCTTTCCAACTAGCACCGCACATATACAGGAAATCGATCTGTTGGTATATAATCCGGGTGGATCCAAGTAATATTAATTATTAAAACTGATCCACAGAGAGCTCGATGTTTTTTATTTTAACAGAGCATATGTAATTTTTTACAGCAAAAAGACAAAAATCTTTTTTCAAGCCGCTCTGTATACGGATATCATGAGTCCTCCTCTTGTAGACACCTTGTTAATGAGAGTTAATGTTAATGTTAATTTAATAATATTAAACTACAAACAAATAAACTCCAAAACAAGCCCCAACACCAGACCGCTTCCGCCGGGATAAGATACCTTAAGACCCCACCAATGATTAACACAAACCCACTCTCATTAACAAGGCGTCTGCGAGAGGAGGACTGACATTGAAAATAAATCTATGTTGAGGTAATTTTAGGTTTTTTTTTGCTGTTTTATATATATATATATATATATATATATATATATATATATATATATATATATATATTTACATTATTCGGACTATTGTCCTCATCTTTGTTGCCAAATTTATCACAACGTTTCAGCCGTTGTAAGCTCCGGCCTTCTTCAGTTGGTTGTAATGTCGAACTGAGCCTTTATTTCGCTCTCTGGGTAGACTGTTCTAGTTCCTCATGCCCTGTCTAATGGACGTTAGTTATCAGTTATCTCCACTTCTTCTCATGAAGAAGGTCGGAATGTACAACGGCCGAAACGTTTTGATAAATATGACAACAAAGATGAGGACAATAGTCCGAATAATGTAAATAGTGTACATAATACTTCATCTGAGAAATACACACACACACACACACACACACATATATATATATATATATATATATATATATATATATATATATATATATATATATATATTAGATCATTACAAAAGCGTGTGCCCGATTAGAAAATTAAAAACAAAATTTTACATACTCACAAAAAAAAAACTATTTACATTATTCGGACTATTGTCCTTATCTTTGTCGCCATATTTATTACAACGTTTCCGCCGTTGTACGCTCCGGCCTTCTTCAGGTGGTTGGAATGTCGAACTGACCTCTTTATTTCACTCACTGGGGTAGACTGTTCTAGGTCCTCAAGTACACATGGCAAAGTGGATAAAAGTGTTAGTTAAATCCAGTGACAGGACCCAAAGAGTGTGAGTTCAATACCTGGTTAAGGCGGTTGAGAACTTAGAGAGGGGAATTAACAGGGGATAACTGATAACTGACATCCATTAGACATGGCATGTGAAACTAGAACAGTCTACCCCAGTGAGAGAAATAAAGGGCTCAGTTCGACATTCCAACCATCAGCCTGTAGCGTACAAC